TCGGGACCCCAGCCCGGACTAGCGGGACGCCGGGCTGACCCCTGCCCGGTGCGGGGCGCGGAGGGATGGACGCCCGGCGGCTGCCTGGAATAGGGCGGCGGGCGCAGAGGTCACGGCGCCAATGACAGCGCCGCGGCGGAATGAATGGGAGCGAGGGCACCGCGCCGGCTGGGTCGTCCGCCCGCCTGCCCTGGTCGGCACCCCAGCCCGGACTAGCGGGACGCCGGGCTGACCCCTGCCCGGTGCGGGGCGCGGAGGGATGGACGCCCGGCGGCTGCCTGGAATAGGGGCGCGCCTCGCGCAGGGCTACGAGCAGTGTCCTAGGGGCCGAGGGGACTTTGGGGCTTGGGCAGGGAGGGGCCGGCCCTGGCACTCCCGGGTGGAGTGGGGAGATTGTCTCCTGGGGCTTGGACATTTCCTTTCGCGTTACAGCCAGGGCTTCAGAAGGACTCGCTTTAACTAGAATTTCAGAGGAAAAGGGGGACCACTCAGGCTTCTTAAAGATCAAGGTGGCCTTTAGTAGGGAAAGGACTTGCGGGGGACGTAGGAGTGATGCCCGGGGGTGGGGGTTGGCTGGATTATAGCCAGGGGTAGTTGCTTTGGGGGCGGGCCTACCTCGGTGCGGTAGGACACTGGATGTCGGGAGTGAAGAGATCTCAGAGATCTCGATCTTTAACTTGACCTTTGATTTCTTGAGGCCAAATCAGAATCTCAGCACTAACCTTGATTCCTGACTCTCCCTGCTGTCTTTGGGCTCGGTCTCCATTTTTCCCCTTTCTGGTCAGTTTAGACCCTGTAAATAGACATATTTTTGTATTTCTGTGACTTCTCTACGGGTGGTGATGAATTCTCACTGTACCATGGGGCTGGCCCCTGCTGTTTAGCACAACTGAGCAAAATTTATGGACTCACTGTCCTTTGAGAGACTTCTCTGGACATGGTCACTGTGTGTGATGTTCACTTCATCTGCAAGGCTCATTATTAAAGTTTATTTGCATTTAGGACTTTTCCGGTTTAGTCTGACTCGCTACACATTATCCTTCCATGTATATCCCACAAACACCTGCTATTGAAACTTGCAACATGAAACTTGCAACATTTATAATTGTCTGCCAATCATGTGGGTGCATATCCGGACTCAACAGTATACTTAACCTCTACTGAGTTAGGATGGGGTTCCATCATAAACCCATCCTAAATTGAGATGATAGGAAGTCAAAAGCACAGTTAACCTACCATGGTAAAGTAGCATAGTCCGCTTGAAACGTGCTCAGTACATTTATGTCAGCTGCAGTTGGGCAAAATTAACTTACGCAAAGTTATACTTTGTAATAAAGCATTGAATAGCTCATAGGATATATTGAAGACTACTGACAATGCAAAACTACTCTAATTCAGAATTCGAAGTATGTTTCTATTGAACATATATATTACTTTTAACCCATTATTAAGCTGAAAAATCTCCCTAGTGGCCCAATGGGCTCAGCACTGTCAAGCTTGCGACAACCCCTTTAGCTTGAGTTCCAGCCAGCCAGGGGAGTGAGCCACATGGAGCAGCAGACCTCCCCTGTCCGCCCACTGCGCCTCTCATTGGTGTTTTGCTCAATCTGCCTGGTCTGCTCCCACCTCTGTCTCTGGTGAATCCTTTCACAGCCTGCCCCTGTCACTTCTGACTTGTACCCCAGTTCTTGTATGCATAAATAAATTTTTAAAGAAAAAAAAAAGACCAAAAAGCAGTATTACTTTGAATTTACAGCACAAGGAATTTTTTCACTTGAATACTAATTTAGTGAGGAATTCGGGAGCTAATTTGCACGGCAGAAAGACATTGAGAGCCCCTCTGGCAATGAGGCAGATGCCTGCTTCCCTTCCTTCACACCTGAGATTTATCTCCTGCTTTATCTTCTAGGGGTGGAGGGGGAGTAGAATTTCCTGTTTCTCTAGCAATTTCAAAATAATGTGTCATTTTGGCACATCTTGGAGGCAGCCTTTTCCCATCCCATCAGCACATTCTTCTGATATCTCTATTACTTCTGTTAAAAAGTCACTCAAGTGCCAAATTGCTCGTAGGTCTTTGATTCCCGCCTCCCCCCAGCAGTTTCTCTTTTTTTAAGTAGTAGTAGAATGCAAGGTTGGCTTTCAGGGGCCATGTGACAGCGGCAATGAACAAACTCAGAACTGGAAGGGGCCAGACTCTACAGCAGTAGGTAGTGACCGGCAGGCTAAACTGCCTGGGTAGCCCTGCTGTCCTGGGTGCTTCTACCCTCCCTTGGGAATCACTGGCCCCAGGTGCCTTTAAAACGAAGAATAGCTTGATGGAACAGAGTTGGTGTTACGGGAAGGCAGCATCTTACACAGCTCTCCAAATAATCTTGGTATCTCTCCAGGAGTAGGTGCTATCAGAAAGATGTCACAATGTAACACAAACAGAAAATGCTGGAATTTGAACCAAGATCTCTCTTCTGAAGATCATGCTTTCAGCAACTCTTATGCTGCCATGTGGCCAAACTTTGTAATTATCTTTTTTTCTGAAGTTTGGAATCTACCTGGAAGTCATCAAATTAAAGATATTGGCTACCTAAAGCAGATTCTAAATAACCTAATAAATTATATTGAAAAATAGATTTATTGTATTTAAGAGTAGATTATATTTATTGGTATTGTAGTTTTATTTATCCTGAGTTATAAGTGCTTATGAATATATACTTACACGATTTTTTTTTACTTTTATAGACATCTTACTTTAATCTTGTGAAGAGTTTAACATCTGCCTTTCCAAATGTATATAGTATATCACGGTAAGTTTATAATCCATATTATAACTTTTAATGCTATTCACCATACTGTAAGAAAATTTCTCAGTTGTCATGGGATTAGTCCAGCCAACTTAATATGTTGCTAACTAAGTGCCACAATATCTGTTCTAATAGATCTCTGCTTTTACAAAAGATGGGGATGTAATAAAATTTAAATCCGACTCAGAACACAATGAACATAGATTAGTTTTTCTTTGGCTTTCTGGGTTCTCTGAATTCTAGTCATAAAAATAAACTTTTGGTGTATCATTTTGCAAAACCAGAACTCTGTGTGATTTTCTAAATAATAATAACCTGTTTGGATTCATGCCTTCTTTCCACCAAGTATCTGGACTTAAGTTTTTCCATTACCTGATTACAAACATCTATGTATGTTCTTGGTCAGTAATTCCTACTTCTGGATGACGTTATCTCACCTAGTAAGACACCCTACAGCCTTCCAATGTGTGCGTTCTTGCTTATCCCAGATTCCATCACACAACATCAGCAGTGTGCTGTCGCAGTAAAGCACGAAGTGGTGAGAAATACACTGATCCTTTTAAACTCGGTTGGCGAGACTTGAAAGGTCTGTACGAGGACATTAGAAAGGTAAGGCTCGTCTGCCGATGCAGCGAAGTCACGTTGACTCCCAGCACTGTGAAGACACCTGCGGCCCGTGGCTCCCTTGCCGGCTGCCCGTGCGCTTGGGAAGCGCTCCTTGAGCAAAGGATGCACTATCTGTGCCATCAGAGCCAGGCCAGGGCAGGGCGGGAATCGGAAAAATTCACCTCCCGGCGCCTCCCTTCCCCTTCCAAGGTTTCCCACTAACTTCCGGAGCCCCCGGCCACTCTTGTATCTCCACAGCAGCTCCGCAAGAGTGAGGGCCTGGCAGAGGAGCCCCGCAGTGCCTGCTCAGTCACCGTGTGGGGCACCTCTTGCCGCCTTCCCTCCAGAGAGTGAATGTGCCCCCTCCTCCCCTCCTCTAGTGAGCGAGCACCCCTGTGCCTGTTGCTCGAGCCTTCGAATCACTGCGCAGTTGCTGCTCCCTCCCGGTGTCTGCACACACTTCCAACTCTAGCCCCTCTTGCTGTCCCTCTTCCGTGCTCCAGGTTCTTCACAGCCATCTGTTCAAGGTGCCCTCCTGGAGCCAGTGTCCCACGCCCGCCCTTCCACACCCCTTGTCTCTTCCTGCCTTGGCCCCTCCTGTCTGGGCCACCTCTGCCCCGGGGCTTCCTCTCCAGCCTGGTCTCAAGCTGCAGTTGCCCAGGCCATCAGAGGCTTCCTTCTATTGCTGGCTTTTTACCTCCAGTGATGTTTGTGAACTTTCAACACTGTTGACCACTCCCCCTGCCCCCCATCCCTCCCCTCCCCCAAGGAAACCCTGGCTTCTGTACCCCACTCTCCAGGTGTTATAGACTGTCCTGGTTCCTCTTGGTTACCGCTCTCCCACTTCCTTTCATTTTGCCATACCTTAGGATTCTACCAGTTCTCTCCCTCTCTGTCCTCGGTTTACCCATTCCCATACTTTATGACTCCCACATAATGCGTCTGTTGCACATTGAGTTCTGTCTCCTAAATCCATAGATCTAACTGCTTGCTGAGCCACCTGCCTGCCTGTCTGACTATCTCAAACTTACCTGAAAGTCTGCTTGCCCTATTCGTTGTTTTTTCTCGTTTTTCCTGTTCATTGAAGGAACCGCTTTGGGACTTCAGAAGGACCTTCCATGTCCCTACACATCATCCTGACTTGTCTCTTGACTCAGTCCCCACCACCCCAGAGCAGGCCACCCTGTGTCTGGCCCCGTCGTCCTTCCTCTCCCCTCTCCTGCCCGAGCCAGAGGCGCCCCTGGGTGTTCAGAGGG